AACAAAAAACCAAAGATGAGAAAAGAAGATAAAGAAACCTGGTTCTCGTAGAGGTTTTCGTTGAAGATGTCGTGAAGAGACCAAGAGAAGACAATATCAGTCAGGTCATTGGTATTGTCTCTCCTCCTCCTGCTCAAACCCCCCTCTGCTCTCTCCACACCCAACACACTGCTTGTGCTCCCTCTCAAGTTCATCTGAACCCACGTACCAAAACCTTCTACTCGTTTCTTTCTCCCCTTTTCTTGCCGATCAAAGCACCAGCGAAAAATCACTCTCGAGGTTTCAAGAAACTCGCAGCGCAAAAACTGGGCAGGCTTGTACGCTCATCATCGGTCCCATTGTGTGAACTCCGAAGTGAGCATTCTTAACGACGAAGAAGAGTGACATGGGGAAGGTAAAGGGTCGTCAATGGAAAGCTCAAAAGAAGCACCCGAGGTCTTCGTCAACCCCATGCGAGGTCTACGGAAGGTGAAGGACGGGGTGGGTCGTCCTCTCATCTTCCGTACGCTGTCTGATGACTTTGTTTTCTTCGCAAATGCATGTAAAGCTTCCCAATTTTCTTCGCTTTTCCACGTTTTCATTTATTGCAACCTAAGCTGTCTACACGTACCTAGGCCTGTCCACTGTTTCTTCTGTCCGAAATGTATTATTTTATGAGTGAAATTAATTTTTGAAGATATTAAAATTATTCGTCGACCTTGAAATAATTAGTAAATGAAAAAAAATACGAATGCAACATTCTACTTTTGATGAAAATTAATCCATCACTTCGCTTTTTATCTTTTAGCTTCTGTATCGATATATTATTAAAAAAGGTTAATATCACGAAAAATATAAAATTTGTAAATACGTAACAAATTTATCTTAAGCTAATTTTTTTATCGCCAAAAATCCTAAATTGATACACCTGCCACAAATACACCCAAAATTAATTTTTTTACCACCAAAAATCCTAAACTAGTACATTTAAGATAAATTTACCCTCCGTTGTTTCCGTTAAATTAATACAATAAGAAACCACAAACTGGTACACCTGTGATAAATGGAGAGTAAAATCCCAAATTAGTACACCCGTCAATTGTCGCGTGTCATCCAACTCAGCAATTTGACAGTAAAAATTTAAAAAAAATTAACAGAGAGTAAATTTATCACATGTGTATCAATTTTGGGGTTTTTTGTGGTCAAAAAATTAATTTGTGGTATTTGTGTCAGGTGTATCAGTTGGGATTTTTTGTAGTATTAACCCTATTAAAAATTCTTTCAAAAGAAAACATAAAAACTCGACACTTAATTTGGTCTAGAAACTGTAGATAGTTAGAGACGACTTCTACTCATTGGTTTTGCCGAATACTTAACAACACCGGTGCCGCCCCGATGCCACCTAAACAATTAGAGATGTTTTTCATCGAGTAATTTTAAGGAGAATCAATTAGGTAACTCGTGTCATCTCTTAATTATTTCTCGCCATGATCAGCTATAATTTATACAAACTTTCGAAATCCTATCGATAGTGTGTTTTAGGAAAGTAAATGTAATCAATGTGTTACGCTATTGAGTGTGGTTTTTTCACTTTGTTTTAAGTTCTAATTTGATTCACATATAAAATCGCAACTTATTTACTATGTTTCCATTGGTTCCGTACGACAATATGCATTAAAGAGTCTACACTTGCTAGTAGTGCCTCTAAAGCATTCGGCCATGGTTCATTCATTTTTGTACGACGTCGAAATATGATATTTCAAAATAATTTTAAAATCGTTAAATTTATATCGCTATCCAACGTGATGTCTAGGATCTCGTTAGATCAATCCGTATGGAAAAAGAGATATGATAGAAATATCACTTTAATGAAAAGCTCGATAGATCGATAGCTTTTCAAAGGCCAAGTCGGCGGTCTCACAAAATTCAACTGATTTCGTGCCCAAAGCTAAAAAGGTGCAATAGGCCTATTGGTTCCATATAAAATCGCAAGTTATTTACTATGTTTCCATTGGTTCCATATGACAATATGCATTAAAGAGTCTACACTCGCTAGTGCATCTAAAACATTTGGCAGTGGTTTATACATTTTTATATGATGTCGAAATATAATACTTCAAAATACTTTTAGAATCGTTAAATTTTTGTCGCTATCCAACGTGATACGCAGGTACTCATCAGATAAATCCAGATGGAAAAAGAGATGTGATAGGAACATCACTTTAATAAAAAGCTAGATAGACCGATAGCTTTTCAAAGGCCGAATCGGCGGTCTCACAAAATTCAACCAATTTCATTGCCGAAAGCTAAAGAGATGTAGTAGATCTATTGGTTCCAGATAAAATCACAACTTATTTACCATGTTTCCCTTGGTTCCGTACGACAATATGCGTTAAAGAGTCTACACTTTTAACTTCGGAGTTCTGGAGTTCTGACCACCGGTGCATCTAAAGCATTCGGCCATGGTTCGTACATTTTTATACGACGTGGAAATATTATATTTCATTAATATTTTTAACATTGTTAAATTTTTATCGCTATCCAGCCCGATGCCCGTATGGAAAAAGATGCGATAGGAACATCACCTTAATAAAAAGCTCGATAGATTGAAAACTTTTCAAAGGCCAAATCGGTAGTCTCACAAAATTCAAACGATTTCACGCGGAAAGCAAAAGAGATGCAATAAGCCTATTGATTCCGTATAAAATCACAACTTATTTACTATGTTTCCATCGGTTCCGTATGACAATTTGCATTAACAAGTCTATACTTTCTAGTGCATTTGGTACATTCGGCTGTGGTTAAAACATTTTTACATGACGTCCAAATATAAAATTTCAAAATGCTTTTAAAATCGTTAAATTATTATCACTATCTAGCGTGATGCGTGGGCACTCGTAAGATAAATCCATACGGAAAAAGAGATGCCATAGGAACATCACTTTAATAAAAGGGAAAAAACCACCAAAAACCCCAAACTTTGCCATCTGTGACACATTTACCCCGAACTTTTTTTTGTGACACCAAAAATCCCGAACTTTGCTTTTTGTGACACATTTACCCCAATGTATTTAGTCCATGGGCATTTTTCGTCTTTTCTGCTTTTTCTTTTTTTTTTTTCTTTTTTTTTCTTTTCCGGCGAGGGGGGGCCTCGCCGGCGTCGGCCTCGCCGGATCCGGCGAGGGGGCCCTCGCCGGCGTCGAGCGAGGGCGGCCCTCGCCGAGATCCGGCGAGGGCGGCCTCGCCGGCGTCGGGCGAGGTTCGCCTCGCCGGCGAGCGAGGGCGTCCTCGCCCGACTCAGCGAGGTCGACCCTCGCCGGCGTCGGGCGAGGGTCGACCTCGCTCGAGCCGGCGAGGTCGACCTCGCCGACGCCGGCGAGGGTCGACCTCGCCCGAGTCGGGCGAGGGCGGCCCTCGCTCGCCCGGCGAGGCGAACCTCGCCCGACGCCGGCGAGGGTCGCCTCGCCCGGGCGAGGAGGGCCGCCCTCGCCCGACTCAGCGAGGTCGACCCTCGCCGGCGTCGGCGAGGGTCGACCTCGCCCGAGTCGGGCGAGGGCCGCCCTCGCTCGCCCGGGGGCGGACCTCGCCCGACGCCGGCGAGGGCCGCCCTCGCCGGATCCGGCGAGGCCGACGCCGGCGAGGCCCCCCCTCGCCGGAAAGGAAAAAAAAAAGAAAAAGCAGAAAAGACGAAAATGCCCATGGACTAAATACATTGGGGTAAATGTGTCACAAAAAGCAAAGTTCGGGGTTTTTGGTGTCACAAAAAAAAGTTCGGGGTAAATGTGTCACAGATGGCAAAGTTTGGGGTTTTTGATGGTTTTTTCCCTTAATAAAAAGCTCAGTAGACCGAAAGCTTTTCAAAGGCTGAATCGGCGATCTCACAAAATTCAATTGATTTCGTGCCGAAAGTTAAAGAGATGCAATAGGCCTAGGAATCAATTCACGCGTAATACGTCATCGACATGACGATAGATGGATAGATACCGTTTTTTAAAAGCTTCGATTCAGTAGTAATTTGCAGGACCCGTCGTCATCACGCATGGTGAAACCCCCACATCGCTACGGGGCACCGGCTTGCTTCACAAGGGCGGGCACCGCGGTACGAAACGCCGCACGACGGAGCCGCCTCGTGATGGTGCTTTTTTCACTGCACAAATGCATGCAAAGCTTCCAGCTTTACTCGTCATTCCACATTTCGGTGGGATTCAGGTCTCCTTTTCCGACCCAGCAAGTCTAACAGTCGCAAAAGAAAAGGAGTCGGAAAAGGAAAAGCAAGCATCTCGATTTCTTGCAACCAAAGCTTTCTACACGTAAAGATATTACCATGACATGAGCAAAATTACTTATCGAGAAATTAAAACTATTTTTTTTATATCAAAATGGTACATAGATCGAAAAATGGGCGAATTTTAATTGGAAATCTGCGTAGAATATGACGCCTGTATCAATATATAATTACGAAAATTTATCAGAGGATTGCCTGGAAACTCGAGACTTAAAATCATCAATAGTTAGAGATGCCTTCTCCTCGTTGGTGTTGCTGAATTCTCCACAGAGTGAGCTACCATCCAGGCGTTATCTCGATAGATGAAAATGCTTATTATAAAGTATTTTTTAATCAAAGGAGAATCAATTATATAATTTCTACCATCTCTCGTATATTTCTCTCCATAATGAATTATAATAATTATTATGGACTATCTATATGCTATAGAGTGTGATTTCATTTTTCACTTTGGTTTAAGTTCTATTTTGATTTATTATAAAATCACCACTCATTTTCTAAGTTTTCAATCATTCAATATGACAATGAGCATTAAAAGTCTGCACTAACTTTGTTTCAAGTATTCCTTTCACAATATCTTCAACAAGGACATTTAACATATCCAACTTTAATCGATACGTTCCTTAATAATGTCGAAGTACGATATTCTCGGACATTATTAAAGTTATCTAACGCGTAGTGTGCTAGTTGTCGTCTAGTAAATCGTATAGAAAAAAAAATGAGATAGGACAATCACTTTAGTAAAAGCCTAGAATTCTTTAGACAGACGGCTTTTGAAAAGCCGCGTCGGCAATGTTACATCTCATTCGCAAAGCCGAGGAAAATTCGTCCCCATTAACCTTACATACATCTACAGTACCTTTACTGAGACAAATGATAAGGCAGAGGTATCTATGCTTGACGTAGAAGTCCACGAAATGTTCTATCAAGTTAGCGTTGGACAAACGTCTGAAAACATTGGTACGGACACGTATGAATTACCCGTCGAGAATGGTTTTCTCAATTCTATTCCTAGAGCGACCCCTTGAGAAGTATAGATATTTCAAAGTACGTGCATTGCTTTCCGGGATACATCTCAGCGGTGCAACAACTAAACTTCCAAGAGTTTCGAGTATCGACGTCACTTAACCAAAATCCCGAGGCCCAGAACCATATGGCCGTCGAGACGAGCCCTTAGCACAATAAAAGCTGCTCAGGAGGCGACCCACTGCAAGAGTTGTGCAGCCATTCAGATCGCATAGTAATGTCGTCCTTAATCCTCCATCAAGAGCCAGATTCGGCTCATTGTTGTGCTGATCCATCTGTAAATAGGCGACTTCCCCGGTAATGGAATCGCCCTTAGTCCGGCAACGGGACGAACTGATGAATTGTGTACGCCCCCATATGGACATATGCTATCACAGGCTGGATATCATTATGTCTTTTCACTCTAATCAGGCAAACTTCTCTATCAAGAATATCTATCGTACATAAGATAAGCAGACCAAGTTGCATTTTCTATCTCATTCTTCACTGCATGCATACGAGCAATCGCGAGGGATGAGAGAATTAGATGTTCAGAGAGGAAAAGAAAAGGAACATTAAACTCCAACCAAGAAAAACTAGTCAGCAGCAATGGTAAATTTTCATGACTATTCACTGCTAGAACTTCAGGAAAAGTGTAGAGTAATAAGCTTCCTGTCGTGATATCTGTTCTTCTTCACTCTAAGAACTATTTTACTAAAAAGTTCCACATGTAATTACGAAAATGGGGACTGCTTGTGGATGATAACAGCATAAAGTTTTCACTCGCACTGTATCTTGAGGATTCATCTCTTCTTGCCTCCTTTCCTCTTTTTTTTACCTTTGGACTTGCGAACTCCCTTGTTCTTGTTCCTGTTCTCCACAACACCAGTCCGCGAAAAAGAAGATGATGAAGCCTGCGCATCCTTCTTCACTTCACTGGTTCTTTGAGCTTCGGCAATTTCGCTTTGCTCTTCTTCATTCACTAAGCCCAACTCTTGTCCCAGCAAGGTACGGTTCACTGGGGCAGAGTTGTGTTCTTCACGGTCAAAACAGGATGGAATAGTGCAAGGACTTTGAGTTACCTTCATCGTCGAGGTAGTAGAGACATATTCCATCCACCCATCCTTCACATTAGTTACTGCCTCTAATGAATCCAACCTTTTCTGTGATTGGTCATACTCCAACGGCGACGTGTTTGCACCATCCGAATGCACAACTGCTGCTGGAACACTGTTGGAAGATGAAGAGGAATCATTGGAAGCTTCGGTCAGATCTCGCAACTTGCAAGAGCTCACAGCGCTTCCATCCTTGGGGAATAAAACTTTCATAATCTCTTCCTTGCATTTGTACGACTTCACGTCTAAAATGATGGCATGGGGACATAAGATGTTTGAAGAATCTGCAGCAGAATTGGTAAGTACAAGGGGATCGTCCACTTTTTTGAATGCTTCAGCGAAAACGCTGACTGAGATTTCCTGTAAGTTCCGCTTCCACCAATGCGAAAGAATACGACAAAATTCTGGAGGTAATTGGGCCGAAATCCAACTCTTACCCAGCAAAACAATGGGAAAATCTGGACTGATGCCAAAATTCAAGTATAGCAAACAAACCAACAAAACCAACTTCAAGACCAACAGTGGGTAGTACTTCGCCACATTTAGGTTCGATCTTTTAATCCATTCTATGGTTTCATTGTTGTTGCAAAGAAGCTGCTGAATAGTGCTAGTAACAAACCCAATGATGAGCTCAAAGCAATTTTCCAGGTTGAAAGTAAAGCTAGGCTTTGCTAAACCTTCATGGCAGATAAGCCATTCAACTAGAGAAGACTTGGTTGCGTAAAATTGCCCTTTGGAGCAAGATAGCAAAATCAAAAGTCGTTCCAAGAGATACAAGAAGCAATTCGGAGTGATGTAGTCTCTTTCAATCCTCCAATTGGCATTGTAAGTATCTGCCAAAGCTTGATAAAGGTTCCAAGTCAAAGACAACTCCACAGGCTTACTATTATTGCTGGCGTGAGGAAGGTCTGGTGGTACATTCTGATACACGCATTCCATAAATGCCTTCCATGACGTATTTCCCTCAAAAGATTCTGCAATTTTCCTGTACAACTTATCGTCGAGCATTCCAGACCCAAGAACCAAAGTTGCAAGCTCACCCATCTTCCCATGTGAAAAATGCTTATTCAAAATTATCATGTTCATCATTTCTCTCAGTAGATGACGAGAAGCCTCACTTCCTCTTACATATATCATACTCTCTGTCGATGATATTCGCCAGTCAAGAGGAAATATGTGACCAAAGTACCTCCTACTGGATGTTTCAATGAAACCCTTCAGTGTCCTACCATACTGGAAAGAGTTATTCAGAAAATTGAGTTCTTGAAGGAACTTCGAAACCTCATGTAAAAGAGCAAGACATCTGCTTTGACAGAAGTTCGACAGAGAACTCTTTGAGGAAAACTGATAAAGTGCATCCAATTTGTGCAGGAGCTCCATACCAACAGAAGTAAGCTCGGAATACCAATATTTTTTAGCAGCAGAGACCAATTGTTGAAGCTCCAAAGCAACCAAGAGTCCATTTTTTCGAAGAAATCGTTTATCTATGTTTCTGACCCAATCAGCATCTGGGTTTAGTAGGTCGTAAGTTCCCCGCAAGTTGTTCCGTTGCTCCAGAACACCAAAGTAATTCAAACAGAACTCCCAACAGCACCTATTTTCCTTTTCCTCCAGCAACTCCGCACATCCTACACACTTTATAATTCTAACAATCTTATCTCTCCAAAGATTCCAAAAGCAGACCAATGAGTCGATGGAAATCTGATTCCTCAAGATCTGTTGTTCAGAATACGCCATTGGGTTGACCAGCCAATCGTATTCCCAACAAAAATTTGAGATATTTTGACAGAGATGGAAGTCCAAAATATTTCGAGCGCATAGTATTTCACCTCTGATACTTTCATTTCTCATGGATGCACTCAAACGTTCTTTCATTTCAGCCAAACTGCTCTGTCTATTTAACAGAATGCTTGATTCTACAGAAACAAATTCATAGAAGGCAATAGGCTCGCGCTTCGCGAGATGTTTGGCTTTTGCTACCAGCTCCTCCTTTTGTGCAAACGGCTTCAAGGGACAACCTTTGCTTCCAGGAGCCCAAAGGGAATAGAAAAACACGTACCACAGGATATTCATCGACGCTTCCTTGTTTTGTCCGTTCTTTACAAGTAGATCAACCTCACGAAGGATATCACCTTTCATCCTCGCAATCTTTGCCGCCTCCGAAAAGTTACCATGGTCTTCCTCCAGACTGATAAGTTCATCGAGGCATCCCAGCCTCTTGAGTAAGTTTCGCATTGAGTCGATGCAGTGAAAAGCCTTCATATACTTCATCATGGCCCTGTAGTCTCTGAGGTCATAGTAATGAAGGGCACAACTCTCTAAAAAGTCTTGTTCCAATTTCTCTATTTCTTTACTTTTCTTTACTACTCCGCTATTCTCATTTCCCTGACTTTTCCAATCCTCAATGTATTGCAGACCCACTTCAAAGAGTTTTCCTTTGGCACAAATGGACAAGCACTTTGAGAAAATATTTCCCCTTGCATACGCCTTCGCTGCAAGACTGTAGCTCCCAGCTAGAGAAAAGCACTCTCCAGCTTTTTCCAAAGCAGATTCTCCAAATTTTTCCATGTATATTCTACCTGTTGAAGCACAAACAAATTTAATGTCAGTCTCATTTATAGTTCCTGATGTTCGCGTAAGATTTAATAACCACGATGTTCAGAAGATAAAATTAGCAAAGGGACATTTGGAAGCTGCCAGAAATACTCTTCACAGCTCAACTATACTGTCCCATGTCAAGATACGAAACAAGATCAACGTCCGCAGGTGGCTACAAAACCAAAAAGTTGTTGATAAACCATAGTCAATATGGAGTATTCAACTGATAGCCACAGCTTTTTTTAAACTTAATGGTGTGGTCAGTGTTAAGAACTTTGCAGCTTGAATTTTTCCAAGCTGCTAAGAGTGCAAAGCCGGGTTGTCAAATAGAAAATAATCAACTTCTCAACCCAAAGGCATAATCATGAAGTCGACATTAGTTGCAGCTTGCTCAAAATTCACCAAAAGCATTTGGAAATTAGCAGGCGAGATCAAACTTCTTTTTTTCTGAATATTGAAAGAGAAATATTAATTACACGGGTAACCAAGCAGTAACCACACGTGTAAAAAACTACATACAAGAGAATAATTGAGATCGAAGTCAAACTTCCTCTTTCTTAGGCAGCTTTGACATAGCTACAACAAGAAGAAAAATAAAGAAGCAGCACAAGGCATATAAATTCTCCATCTTATCATTTTGAAAGAAACGAAAAAAATTGGAACGAAAAAAAAAATGATACCTGCTTTCTCGTATTCCTTCAACATGTAGAAACACTCCGCTGCAGAGTCGGCCACTCCAATTGCTTCATAAATCTCAGCAGCCTGCCTTCGAAGGTCAGAAGCCTCCCGTGGACTTAAAACGTGCTTGAGATCTGCATCTGCTTTCAAAGCAGAGGCCTTAGCCAATTTCTCCCCATATGTGTACCTTGCTCGTTCAAAGCACATTATTGCCATTGGGTAATTACCCTCACGTAAGAGCTTGCAAAGTTAAACAGAAAGAGAGATCAATAGCTTCTTCAGAGAAGGTGAAAAGAAGAAGAATGGTAAACATAGTCCTCCCTTGTAGGAATGATAAATGTGGTTGCCTCAACCCAAAAAAAGGGACTGCCAGTGACCTCATAAACTCAAGAGAGAAAAAAGATTCAAGGAAAATTCATAACTTATGCATTAATCCATTGTGTCTAAATGAAATATCCGGCCATACTATTAAAAACCCAATAAATTTGGTGAATCGATCACCGTATTTGTACCACAGAACTTGCACATCGTACCCACAGTTTTCAGGATCAGTTATACTTTTACAGTCACTATTGTCAGTTCAAAATAGCATTCAAATATCACATTGACTGCAAATGAGGTGAAAAAAACAATTCTGTGAAGAAGAAACAGACATTAAAAGAAAAAAAAACGAAAAACAGCAAACCTTAAAACCTTGTGACTTCCACTCCTCTGGGGTGCTCCTGACCTTCATTGCTTCTGCAAGGGCATGATCTACCAACCTAACTTGAATAAGGCACTTCTTCTTCCAGTAGTCAAACATTGGTTTGGAGAACTCCAGGGCATTCTCACAAATCCACAATCTTTGCCTTGTCCGAGTAACAGCAACATACAGTTGCTTCAATTCAGAGCATAGTATATTGTGCTTCGAGTCATCGAAACTCGGGGAAGACCATTGAGAGCTGTTATCGAGCAAATCTTGCTCCTTCATGTAGGCATAAATGACCCTCCATTGACTTTTCAGAGGTGACGTGCCAAAAAAGTTGTACAGTAAGACGTCCTACACAATGTCACAGGCAAAAAAGCTTCCCTTAAAAGCATATGACTAAAGACCAAATTGACAGATTTGGAGTTTCATGAATACATGAAGAGATCTAAAAGCATTTAGGAAGAGAATATTTTGACTCGTTTTGACACACCTGCCAATGAAGATCAGTCGTAAAGTTGCAAGATCTTTGATATTGCCTATTAACTTAGAGGATAATATTCACATGAGCACACACAAATTCTACATCATGTGTATCGAGATGCCATCATATACATAGAAACAAAAGGGTATAGTAGAATGAAATTGCAACTACAAGCATTTTACAAAGGAACAGCTAGCCGCAAAAATTGGTGCTGACCCATCAAAGAAAGATTGGCCCATAAAAAACTGGTCATGATATCTCTATTGCTGCTACCATTAATAATCACATGGCAAACAATCCAACCTGACACAAACCTACCTGAAATTCTAGCCCCTTGCACTCCACTATAGTCAGAACTAGGGCTTGCCCCCTCACAAGGTTTGAAACTTCATTTCGAGAATGATCATCTCGAACCAAAATAACCTGCTCTGCTCCGAAGCCAACGAAATTACCACTAACATTACTGTACCCAAAAATTGACAGTATGGCACTTTCACCATTCTCTGATTCAAGTAAAATCGGGGCTTCCCCACATATAAAGCTAGTTTCGGGGCTCAAAGCATCAACGGATAAAGGAAAAAAACGGTAAAGAAGGTCAACAACGCTCTGCGCCAGCTTGAGTATACCAGCATGAGTGCGGAAGTTCTGGCTCAAATGGAAAGTTTTGGAAAGACTTCCCTTTTCCATTCTGATATCAGGTCCATCCTTTGAATCTATCAAGAACTCCTTGTAGAAAAGGGACCTTATGTCTTCAAACCTGAAGTCTATTCCCCTTGCAATAGTTTGTGCAGTGTCACCCGAAAACACAAAGCCATCCTCAACATTTCTACAGATATATTTGAACAGTGAAATTTGCCTCACGGTGAGATCCTGCACTTCATCAATATATACAAAATCCACCACGTTACCAGTAAACTGTTCACGAAAAAGACGGCGATGAAGATCACTGACTAGATCGGCTAAATCAAATTCACCATTTGCCATTTTCATCTTCTCATAATCCTCAAAAACATCATAAATTTCTTCTCTTCTCTGAGCACTCAGAGTGGAGACACGACTCTCCGAAAGTGAAACATAAGCAAGTCTCTCAAGTTTGCCTTTACAACCATCCGCTGGTTGAAGACCACCCTTTATGTGGGACATTATTTCAGTAAAGACTCTGGAAGGATCAAGTCTCCTCCTTAGCTTGTCATTAAAGTGAGGCCAATAGACTGCACAAAACTTTTCGTAAGAAACCTCCTTTGCTCTAACAAGACTTTGTAAGGCAACTGGTCTAGAATTGCAGGATCGGCTGTGAGAAACCTCCCTTAGATCAGGGAACCTTTCAAAGAATGAAATCCCGATAGTTCCATCTAGCATCATCAGAAGCTTACGAAAAGTTATGATAAGGGGAAAAAAGCCTGGAGACATGTCAACAAACGAATCTGGGATATCCTTGAATAACGCTGCATCATCAACAATCTCATCAACTGAAGAGCTTTGTGCTCTATGTTTTGCACCAATGCTGGAGCTGCATGATTAATTAAGCTAGATATTAGAAATAAAAATTTATGCGCATAAACTCACAGGATTACCGACACAACACATGCAATCTCATAATTTTACTTTTAGGTAACTAACACCGACAAGGGAATAAGAAAAGGTTGATGCACCAAGCTTGTCACAATATCCTACGAGACACAAATAGCATTTACATAAGCTGGCAATGAATCTTACATCACGGCAAGATCTGAAGAACAGATAGTCCTTTCTCGATTCTGCTCATAATTGCATATTTTCATTTAAAATACAATTTTATTCTTATACCTACAATGAATCACACAAAATTTAATACAAAAATTTCCGATAAAATGGAAATGCAAACTAAAAAGTGGCACAAGGACCAAAATAAGGACTATTGCCGCACAAATTAATCTCCAGTGTAAATCAGCAAGCAGATGATGTCGACTTCTAATATGCAATGATAAATTCTACACCCTAGCAGCTAAAACAAGTAGTAGCACCCGACCATGGCAAAACACGGATATTACCTATGCACTTAGTGCATGTTACATCTTATATTTCCTACGGAAGTATATGTATCAAGTATCTTGGTTATGCTTCTCCGGTAGGAGTAAAGTAGTAGCACGCCAAAGGGGGTTATCTTCTTGTCCCCACTACATTCGTAAAAAGATTTGACAATCCACTATCCTTTGATATTTTCTTCTTCATTGTAAAAATTGCAAAATATTTAATTCAATTGTTCAAACATCTTCCCATGACATTTATGTACCTTCTAAGTTGAGATAAATGTTGTTTGACTGCAAAACATAATTTTGCACTGACGGTCACAAAAAGCTGGCGCAATACACAATCCTCTGTTCCATCAACGATTTCCTCAACATTGATTTCCAGGGAGGCATCTTTGCTGTTGCTGACAACACTTTGGTTTGTCTGAAATCCCTTCGTTGCTTCATCATGCAGTTTCTCGTTCCTAAACAACTTCATTGTCAGGACTGTAGTTTTTCCAGTTCCAGATCGCCCAAGTATAAAAGTGCTTCTGGGGAAAAGAATTATCTCTTGTTCTTGCTCTGTTACTTCAAATGGAAGACTCACTTTGTTACCATCACTGTCATCGAGCAAATGGCTGATAACATCTGATGATAAGGAGTAAAATTTCATCAGAAGCAAACTCTCGCTCACTTTCGCATTCTCTGCATACAACCTCCGATCTGAAGCATCAGCATCAGAACTACTCCCAAATTGATCTTCACTGGGATTTCGATAGCGGACAATATCAAAAGGACAGTCCCAGGTCTTTGGAACTTCCCGATCCCTATAACAGGAAGAGGCATGTGAAATAAAAGAAAAAAGTGGGATAAGATCAATTCAAGATATGTTAGTCATCATCTATCTGGGAAAAAGATGCTTTCAAATTAGTTAAGCGATGTGCTACCTATCTTAAGTAGAAAGAAAAGATTTCAACCAAAAAAAAAAAGTAGAAAGAAAAGATCAGACTTACCCCGCAACGCATTTTTCGTTGCAACGACTAATAAAATCATCACTATACGTCTCGAATATGCTGTCCAGACGTTTGACCAATTTTGCCACATCCTCTAAAGGCAATACATCCCAAATCTTCAGGATTTGAATGTATCTCAGTGCCTTTACAATATCAATCGTGCATAGGACATAGAGACCATCAGCCTTAAATTGTCTCACTGTGTGAGATGAGTGTTCACAATATATATCCACATTCCTCTTCTTAGGTCTCCAGCCACTGGAAAGTTTTAACAGAAGGTTGATGATTGACATCTTTCTCCTTAGTGATGTCAGCTTTCTGAAAGACTTCAGGAAGTTGTCACTGAAAAGAACCTGAAAAAACCAAAGCATGACAATAAGAAATGTTTGTCTCTAATTCTTTAATACTAATGCTTTTTTAGAAAAACAAGTGAGGCCACAGAATACTGTTGAGCCAAGATTTTTACCTTCCATATTGCATTTCTGAAAAGTACACTGCTTCTGTCAAGCAGATCATCAAGCCGATTATTCGCTTTCTTCACATATAAAATGGCATTAGCCAAGTCCTTGTCATCATCAACATTGAAGAAACATGCACGACTCTTAGCATTGTCAACCAAAGCTTGCCACACAGATTTGCTTTTTGTCAGTGTTTCCCCATTTCCCACAATCCACAGACAATACCTATAGATAGAAAATAACACTGGGATATACAGGCCATATTACTCTAAAATTTAATTTGACATGGTTAAGAGGATAGAGTACCTTGCCCTGGTAAGAGCAACATTGGTTCTCTTAGTATTAGACAAAAACCCAATAGTACCGCGCAAGTTTGATCTTACAGTGGATATAATAATAATGTCTTCTTCACCCCCTTGGAATCCATCCACTGACTTCACCTTGACCAAAAAGCCCTTGATATTTTCATACCTTTTTCCAAGTTTAGCTTGAACTGCAGCAACCTGAGCTGCATAGGGAGATATGACACCTACTGTCAGATTTTCTTCTGACCCACGCCAAGCTGCAAAGAAAAAAGAAATAAAATGATCACAACAATGATATCATTTTATGCGGGGTGAAAAACTTCGAAAGAAATATCTTAGGGAAAGAGCTATTAATTGCCAACATAATCTAGACCCATATGGATACATAGGATTTGCAAAATTCCCTTGGCATACCTCTGTATAGATTCCTCAATATCCTCAAGACAACTTCCACCTCAACAGGGTTTTTAAGACTAAATCCGTCATCACCAACTTCTTCTCGTCCATCAGGAATACTTATGAACGAGTAAGGGCCAAACATGGGCCATGGCAAATGACTTTTTCTGTAACTTGTGCTCTTCACGTTTGGCCCGTCCAAAATTGGGTTTTGATAAAAGTTTGAAGTCGGAAACAGACTTATTGATGGATGCATCCGGTACTGTATATTGAGAAGTTGCCTTGAATAACCCAGTGAACTCAGTCGTTCAAACAGACTCCTTCCAAAACCAGCCCTGCCAGAAACCTGTAGATATAAAACGTGACAAATTAAAGGGCCGTTAGGTATAAAAGATTTTGCCTATCTATGCCCAAATGGAGAGAAGGATAATTATACATCTTTCAAAACCAAATAGGAAGTTACTTTTCAATCATCTTAACATTACCTTGCTTTCGACCATAGCAGGCAATTGACACTCATCTCCAACTAAAATCAGATGCTTGGCACCAGGGAGTTGCAGAGGAATTACTGACTCGCATTCTTTCAATTGGGCTGCCTCATCGATTACCAGCAAATTGAGAGGCTCCATTTCCACAGAGTACAGCTTATATGAACTGGACGCAGTGCAAAAAATCAGGGAAGCCTGTTGATAACAGAAGTCGGCAATCATGTCCTTACTCGTGAAGTTTGGAAGTTTTAGATCCTTCAGAGAATCACGAACAGTTAGCAACATGGAAAGGCATTCCTGTCTCTTCATATATAAATTATATAGTGGACCCATGGACGTCTCAAACGAAAACAGGCTACGTTCATCACATGAAAGAGTTATCTCCATCATCTCTGAATCCAACTTCTCTCCACTTAATAAAGTTTCAAAAGAATCAAGTAAGGTAAGGAGGGATGTGATATTCTGGAAATTAGTTCTGGATATATGAGTACAGAAAATAAAGAGGCATCTCCGCAGGGGCTGGACAGTTGCCTTGAATCGGTCCCTGAAAAACTCAAGAAATGATTTAAGCTCACAGTTACCATCTTCTTCACTGCTTCCGCATTCGCTCCCATCATCACTACTTCCTGGTTTCCTTCTTTTTGTGCGTTCGTCTTCCAAAAATATTTGGTATTGACGCACACAGTCGGCAAGGGTATCTATCATGGAAGTTAGACATTGAAACCAACCAGTGACCTTAGAAAAGCACTCAGCAACACAAACTACACGGTGTTCCAAGTATATTTCTTCAATGTCCCAATCAACTTTCAGCCGCTCCTTGTTCCCAAAAATAAGCACATCTCCTAAGTAACAGAGCAAACTTTCCCTTTCAGTGCTTATACCACTATCTGATTCCTTTAGCAGCTTTAAAACACGATATGCCACTTCCTTGATGGCAACATTTGTAGGAGCACAAACAATGGTTCTATATTTCCTTTTCAAGAGAGTAAATAGCAGTGTAGCGAGAGTTTTAGTTTTCCCAGTTCCAGGAGGACCCCATATCAGTTCGACAGAAGGCTTGTTCTCACATTGGAGTTTATTGAGACAGGCCGCAACTGCTTTTATTTGGGATTCATTCAGATCATGGCACACTCTCTCGTCAAGGCCCTCACTCCCAGAACCATCACCTTTTGTAATACAGAGATTGGAAGCTTTATTAGCCTGCAACCCAAACACATTTCTTGTGATACTCCAGACCATGTATATATGGTAGAAGGTCAGAGACCCTGAAACTTAATCGTTATTCATATGATATAAAGAAGCATTGCACAGCACAAACTTATATCTTGTGAAAAGTACAGAAAAAAAAATTTAAGGTCCAGCACTAAATCTAGGCCATGCTACCGCAGCAGTAAAAATTTTAAAAATATTAAAATAATGTGGAAAAAAATCTACGGAAAAGAAATGCTGGCACAGAGAGAGAGAGAGAGAGAGAGAGAGATTTGACATCCACAAGAGAAGTTGGCTCCATGATATTAATTTGGACTAATTGCCCTATTTAAGACATAACTTTACTAATCTTCCATATCTTCATTCATTTCCATATGATGAGATGGACCAACCAAAAGAAACAATCGTCCTAACCAATAAATACAAAAGAATGGCTTAAAGCATCCTTTATCTTGCTCTCCCGTGAAACTTACAAATCGACAGGAGTAAAATTGAATTTTCAAAGCTTAGAGGAATATATAGCAATTTTAAGTCTAAATGGACCAAAGGTACAAAAAGCAAAGTCATACCACCAAATCTGTGCAGAGAACTTCCTTCACAATATCCAAGTTCAGAGACATATGCAACGCGTTCCATATCCTACTGTTAGTGGATATATTTATCAGAAAAACAGCATACATTGGCTTCCAGGAACTATTTACTTCATGGTCCAATAATGCCTTCACTTTAAAGTTTGTGGATGATGCTGCCTCATCCTCTTCATCATCCCCTCCGATCATCCTTACTGATGCGAATGCCCATCTTCTTCCATACCTCTCCAAGTCAGGAACGGTTGTCGGCTTAGCATCAGTTAGAATCAAGATATCTCCAGGCAAAGTTTTGTAAGTTTCCTTGCCACGAGCATTGGATTCATTGCTCCACCGACTGGCCTTAACAGCATATTTGTTCCCACTTCTCTTGCATTCCACAAAATCAGTAACCTTGGCGAAAGGCAGTGTAGAAATATTTTCCAGACTCGAGCTCAAACTCGCCCGTGTTTCTTCCAGTAAAGGGTAGACATAAGATCCGAGATAACGCGGGACTGACTGAAATGTCTCCGGTATAGTCTCCACCTACAAAAACAGCTTGGCCAAATCCCAAGTATAACCATCCTACCTCGACATTCAAAAAATACTTTGACCAACTTCCGCAAAACATAAAATCTACTCCTAAAATACTAATGATTTTGCCAAACACAGTAAAAGCATAAGGGGTTCTGTCACACTAAAGTCTAATGCAAGATTCTTATAAGGCTAGGCCTATCAAAAGCACACAAAATAGAAAGAGCAACAAATTTCTCAAGTAAACACCACGTTGTTGTTGAACTTACACGAGAATAAAAACAGGGCATGATAAAAGAAAAAACGAAGCATAGATGAGAGAAGAATAATAAGAAACCTGGTCAACGTAGAGGTTTTCGTTGAAAATGTCGTGAAGAGACCAAGAGAAGACGATATCAGTCAGGTCATTGGAAATGTCTCTCCTCCTCCTGCTCCTGCTCAAACCACCCTCTGCTATCTCCATACCCAACACTCTGTTTGTGCTCCCTCTCAAATCCTTCCGAACCCACTTACCCACGTACCAAAATCTTCTCCTCGTTTCTTTCACCCCTTTTCTTGCCTATCAAAACACCAGGGAAAAATCTCTCCACGGTTCCAAGAAACTTGCGGGACGCAAAGAACGGGCAAGGTAGTACACTCATCGTCGGTCCCATTTTTTAACTCGGAAGTGAGCATTCATTACGGCGAAGGCGAAGAGTGGCCTCGGGAAGGTAAAAGGGGTCGTCAATGGAAGCTCAACGAAGCACCTCGAGGTCTTCGAAAAGGTGAAAAGACGGGGGGGGTGGGTCGTCTCCTCGTCTTCCCTACACCGTCTGATGACACTTCCCTATGCACAAATGCATGCTAAAGCTCTCATCTTTTCCCGTTATTCCACGTTTGGGTGGGTGGATTCAGGTCCTCTTCTTCGGTCCCAGCAAGTCCGATTCAGGCAAGAGACTACAGAAGAAGAGGATGAGCAAAACCAAAACAAAAACAAGAAATCTTGCACCCTAAGCTTTCTACATGTGCTAGGCCCTGTCCCCTGTTTTTTTATCATCTATCCGAAATGCATATCATGTCACGAGTAAATTCACTTTTATTATGAACTTTTTTTTTGTCAAGTTAACTACTCTAAATTATGTCTACTGTGACATATTTATGTCACACTAAATTTTTTTGTGACATAAAAAATCCAAAACTTATATTTATGTGACGTATTTACTCTCCGTCAAGATTTCATCAGATAATTTTTCAGTCAAAATAATGTCGTTTTATTTCACATATCAATACAATTTGTTTTCTAGCAGATTTTTAAAAATTGTCGTCGACAAAACTTTGACAAATGTTAACATTTTTTATGTCACAAAAATAAATTAGAGTGAATTTGTCATAATAAGGATAATTTAGGATTTTCTTGTGACTTTTACCCGTAACTTTATCGAGACTAATATATATGGATGATGACACAAATAGTCCCCGAGCGATTTAGTCCCTAAAAGTTTAATGTAGTCCCTGAATTTTAGTCCAATATTCAATATGATCCATGAACTTTCTGTACATGTTCAATAGAGTCATTGAACTATATGAAAATATAGAATATACTCCATGAACTTGAATTAATGGAAGGATTACATTAAATATTTTTATACAGTTTAGGGATTATATTGAACATGTACCAAAAGTTCATGGATCACATTGAACAAATTGAAAGTTCATGGACCATATTGAACATTGGGTTAAAATTCAAAAATTATATCGAACAAATTAAAAGTTCATGACCAAATTATATATTGAGTCAAAATTCATCCATATGTTTATGTTATTTTTCCTATATAAATATAATCCCGAATTCGCGCGAGTTCTCCCGCTACGGCAGTGCTTCCGTCGCACCTCGCCGCCTTCAGCCGGCGAACCCGTCGTTCTCCGCCGCCGCCGCACCCTGCCGGTTCTCTCCCGACCCTCCATAATCTGACCTGCAGTTTCTGCAGAGCCGGAGGCGGAGCCACCCTCGTGCTCGCCGCCACCACCCGCCGTCGCGCCCCCCGTCGGACCTAGGGTGACCCTCTTCTAAGATCTCTTTCCTCAGCAATTTCGTCATCGACGTCGCTCCGTCGTCACCTCGCCGCCGTGCGACCGTCTCTAGCGCTCCTCTTCTTCAGTGGAATTCCGTCGACTGCTTAACGCATCAGGAACCCTCTGCAATCAAGGAAATCTCGGAAGATGGACGTGATCTCCCAGCTGCAGGAGCAGGTCAACACGATCGCCTCGGTTGCCTTCAACACCTTCGGCACCCTGCAGAGGGACGCGCCCTCCGTGCGGCTCTCCGCGAGCTATCCCGAGCCGCCCCCGATCGCCGCGGAGGACGCGTCCAGCTTCGCCGAGCAACCCAAGCTGATGAGCTCTGCTCTCGTTAAGGCCGCCAAGCAGGTTCGTGTCTCTCGGGCTTGCTGTAAACTACTTGACGTGATTCGAAGAAATTGTTTGGCTGGTGATCTTATGTTTATCTCTGAAGATTGATTGCTTGATTCATCGCGGCAAGATGACGAAACGACTTCGATGTGTAAGAATTATTTGGCTAGAAATCTATGTTGTCGCCGAAGTTTTTAGGGAAAGATGTTCTCGCTTCTATAGGCCTTTGTCTGAATTATGGTCCGGGGTTCGAAAGCTCTGCACTCGGTTCTTGTAGAGGACATGAGTACATTTCAGTTACTATCAAATTTCTCGTGGATAGATCGAAGATGTGACGGGTAGGTCCGGAGATGTAATGCAAGTTTGGCATTTGTTTCCTCTTTGTATATGTAACCACGTGCATCGTACGCCGTTGCACCTAATACGACAGTTATTCCTACGGAAGAAAATGCGATCTCCATTTTTTTCTTGTGGATCCTGTTGGTGGATATGTCTGCTGCGAGTATCTCGGGGTACATGTACACAGACCTTGTCGCAATTCGGTTACACGAGTTGGGTAATCTTTTGACTTGTGTCCATGAAATAGTTATGCACGCTCGAAAATAGCCACCACTCTTGTGTAATCGCAACTATCGTTTCTTTCAAATGTGTTTCTGCGACTTATAGTTGGTAGAATGATTTGAATTGGGTGTAAGTGTTATGAGACTGTAACTCTGTTAGCGCTCTTGATCTTGAATATGTTGGAATGCTGGTTTCTGATTTCTATCTTCTGCACTTTTTGTTCTACTTCATGCTTGAAGTAAAATGATGGTCAGTGCGGCATACTAGAGACTCTGCACCATATCAGTATATTCTCGCGGGTGTAGCCTCCACTTTAGAGATGAAGCATTATGCTTTGAGTTACGAAATTCGGCATCCTTTTCTGCCTTTTGCTCTTGGAATCTGGATAAAAATCAATCAGAGTACTTTTTCTGCAGTTTGATGCCTTAGTCGGTGGACTTCAACTACCCGAGGGAGGAGAAGAAGCTCAACTCAAAAGGATTGCGGAGCTCCAGGTTAAGAGGATCTGTGGTTTTCTGTGTTCTTCCACTTGCATAATTCCATAGATTAAGGCTGTTTCTTATTCTTCCCAAATTACCTTTCGCAGGCTGAGAATGATGCTGTAGGACAAGAACTTCAGAAGCAACTTGAAGCTGCCGGTAATTGCCTATCGATGAGGGTGTGAGGGAGTTTGTCTCGTTCACTTACGTATGTTCTGGTTTTGGGTGAAATTGACATTTTTTTATGATTTTTGGCATTGGCAGAGAAGGAATTAAAGCTGGTCCAGGAGCTATTCAGCCAGGCAACAGATAACTGCTTTAATTTGAAGAAACCGGATTAGAAAACGAGGACACCTCTCTTCTTTACCTTTTCGTTAAATTTATGCAGTAGAGATGATGACTGAGAGAAATAGGCATTCTAATGTTCGGATAGTGCGAAGGGATCCTGAGATGTCGCAACCCTGTATCGGTTGAGTTTTGAAGTCCTTGCCTAGTAAAAGTTTCTTAGTGCACAAAAAGCATGTCCAGTCTTAAATCTTTAATTGCAAATACAAATTCTTAGTGTTGCATTGGCAATGAAAAGTTCTCTGTTTTGTTGTTCACCTTCCTTCCCTCTGAAGGGTTCAAAGATTGCTTTCTTACCCTTTGGTCCTTCTGAAGATGGTCTCGGAATCACATGGACCATGAGCTTTTTTCCCTTGCGGTGTAAATACACAGTCAAGAACCATCATCATCAAGAAGGGAAATTTTTATACATGTGAAGTTCAAAACTCAGAATAGCTCATGTTTGGCCAACGAGAGGTGGAGTAGTGGTCAGGGCAGGTGAGTTCATGGGCGGCAAAGCTCAAGGTGTTCCTTCGCCGGTATCGGCTTTGAACACTAGACACTTAACCTCTTTAGGGTGCTCTTAAAACAGTCTTCGTGGCCCCCCCGATTCGGGGCCCAACCATAAGTTTAGAATTGGACTGTACATAAACGGTGAAGAGAAGAGAACGGTACATGCTATATGGCACATGGAAATGGAGTCCTTAAACTTCAATGTCTTGAGGGACATCAACAAACTGCCCCTTTTGAGTTGCGCGAACCCAAGGGACCGTCACCTGGGGTCGCCGGCCTCCTGCTGGCTGCTGAGTCTTGCCGTTTATTTGTTTTTTTTTTAAAGAAAAAGCAAATTTACTTTTCAAATTCTGATTTTGCTGAACACCATTTAAGCTAAATTGACTTTTAAATTACCTTTTACCATATACTATTTGCATGTCGAAAAACCCATTTAGCCCAATGGCATTTGTGTTTTCTCCATAGCCGAACCAAATGGGGCTGAAGTCTAATACCATCTGGCATAGGGTCGACAGTCCTGCATCTTCTTGGAGTGGTGATCTGAGCACACCAGCCCCCAAGAGACGATTCAAAAGCAGATTAGCCTCGATGTGAGCCATGTGATCGATAGCTTGTCATTGTTCTACAATGAAAGTGACTGAAGAGCCTGATCAAAGGGATCCTCATCTACTTTCATCGTTTCTTCTTTGCTAGAAATCTCGTCCCTTTAATCGATATATGTCTACCAAATCCGCTTGTTATTGTTCTACGATGCACCAGCACAAAACAGAGTTCCCTGCCTGCTACTACATTTCAAACAAGTTGGTAACTGTCAAATATCATATCAGTAACTTGTTCATCTAATCACGTGTTAGTAACTTTCAACAAGCTTCGACAAATATCAAAGTTTCTTTATGCTTCGAATTTACCAACTGTTTTAATAATTTATCAACATTTACTTTCACGACTTACCAACGATTTGAAAACTACTAACCTTAATTTTATTGATATACCAACATTCATCACATTAAGATATCAACTATTTCTTAGACACTACTTCTATATAATCTACCCACGTTTATTATTGTGATTACCGACGCTTTTGAAACACTAAAACTACATTTGGTAATCTAGATAAAATTCAAGATATTGGTGCATGCAAAAGATAGGATAAAATCGGATATAAGAGGGATATAATCCTGATAAAATTATCACATGAGGAAGGTGGGATAAATGTGTATAGAATATTTATATTATTCATAATATGAAGATTATTTTTCTCAAATAACAAACTCGTTAAATTAATAAGAATAAAATAATATTTAAATATAATTAAGATTCGAATTCTCATATAAAAAATTGAAAATAAAAAAACAACAATTTCGTTTTTATTTATTCCTATTTTTATTTATATATTCAAATTTCTTTCTATCTTATAATGTAAATTTCACATATATAGATATATATTTAATATTTATATTTATTACATATTTTAGGTATATCATTATAGTTTAATAATTATAAAATTTTATTAGAGAATAATGGAAGGAGAAAAAAAGAAAAGAAGAAAACAATAATAAAAAAGAGGGAAAATAATATAAAAAAAGAGCAAATAAAAATGAAGTAGGCAATGATGTTGTGAGAGAATCTTACTTTCTTCGTTTATGCGATTTTTAGATTCATTTATACTGATATACCGTTCATAGTAAACAATGGTCACGATAAGATGTCAATACACACGGCTTCATTAGTGCGATTCACCAAACAGTGGATAAAATATGATAAAATTTATGTATTTCATATCTTATCTTATTCGGTCATTTCCTGACTAGAAATCTAAATAACAAAATGAAGCCTAACTTTATTTAAAATTACCCATCCTAATTTGATCGGCATATCACCATTTATCACATAAACATGGTGCGCCGCAGCAGCAGTGGGCTAGGAGCCGACCCCCTTAGCTGTTGATGATCTGGGGAACGTCCACTTCCCCTGCCATGCGCTTCCGCCGGAGTATCGCCGCGTAGTCCCCATAGGCCTCCAGCCCAGACAAGTACGCGGCGAAGCTTTTCCCCTTGAGCCTGTTCAGAGAGAACCTGTTCTTCAGCGTGTCCTTGCCAGATTCAGCCCCAAAGGTCATTGCCTGATCGGACATAGCAACGTAAAAGCCGTAGCAATATGCGAAATGGTCGGTGTTGCGCTCGAGGACGCTCCCCAAGAACTGAACCGCCTTGTGCCGATTGTTCATCCAGGCTAGGACACCCTGCGGGAGGTCGCCGCCGCCTGTCCTCCTTGGGGCATCCCCGGGTGGGAACAGCCCCACGGCCTCTATGGCACTGTTCAGTAAATCCAAAGTCAAACTGCCTCCCACGAGCTCAAACATCGGCCTGACCGTCTGGAGCAGTGTCCTGTAGCTGCACGGCGCCCTCATCTCGAGCTCCATGGCTGGGAGCCTCGCCGCTGCAGACCCGGCGCCAGAGGCACGAACCATGGTGGCAACATCGGGATCCATCGCCAAGACCTGCTTCTTCGAGATATTCACCGGGTGGCAGGCCTTGTGCCACAACGCGTCCTGGATGGTGTCCACATCACTCACGAACCAGTCCTTCCACGTCCCGTCCGTGCCAGAACTGCCTCTCGACCGCCCCAAAGCCCTCCTCGATGGCGTGGATCGGTCGCTCAGGTAGTGGTGGTCGGTCATCAGCAGAGAGTAACCCTGCAGGGGGGAGGATGCCTATGGAGCTCATGCGTAACGCGAGGATGACGTTCCTGTCCCCGTCAGCCACATCATTTGGAAAATTGTCAAGTAAACACCGCATAGCCGCTGAACTTACACGAGAATCAAACAAAAATGGAAGGAAAAAAGAAGGGCAGAGACGAGAAAAGAAGAGAAAGGAACCTGGTTGTGGTAGAGGTTTTCGTTGACAATGTCGGTGGAGAGACCAAGAGAAGGCAATATCAGTCAGGTCTACTCCTCCTGCTGCTCAAATCACTCTTCAGGTTTCAAGAAACTCGCAGGACGCAAAAACTGGGCAAGCTAGCTCGCGGGCTCGTCGTCGGTCCTGTCTTTTGAACTCCAAAGCGAGCATTCAGTGCAACGAAGGCGAAGAGTGTGACCACGGGAAGGTAAAGGGGTCGCCGGTGGAAGCTCAAAAGAAGCACTCGAAAGATTGCAGAAGAAGAGGATACGCAAAGCCCAAAAAACTGAAAGCAAATTTGATTTCTTGCACCCTAAGCTTTCTACATGCACTAGGCCCTGTGCCCTGTTTTTTCTCTTCTGTCCGAAATGCATTTTGTGGCGTTGAAATGATGAGTAGATGATAAAAGGGACGAACTTTAACCCGAAATCGATGAACGGTGTGACCTTCCTACTTGTGCTGAAAATTTTATTTAGTCGCCTTCGCTTTTAATTTTGAATATCTATATTGATCTATTGTTACGGACATTTTTCAAAGGATTACCTAGAAATTTCAAACTTAAATTGTAGATGATTAGATGTGACTTCTCCTTGTTGGTTTTGCCGAATTCTCAAACAGAAATAGTCGCTACCTAGACGCCCACCTAAGCAATTTGAGGTGTTTTCCATCTGAGTAGATTTTTTTATCAAAGGAGAATTAATTACGTAATCCTTAAAATCTCTCTATTATTTCTCTCTATAACGAGGTTTAATATTTGTGGAAATGCCATTGAGTGCCTAGTTACAAATTGTTTAGATGATAAACTTTTTAAAAACAGTTGAGTGGGCAATTTCACCCTATTTCACAAATTTTAATACGAACAAGTCGAGGAAAATTCATTTGCACAGTGAGGACCCTGACGGTCTGTCCCGTAATCAGGCAAGACTTCCCCGCACTCCCTGATCCCTCCGTTGGGTCAGAATCTTTTTCTTGCCCCAATCCCGGCAATACCCGACTTCATTTTTAAATCCCGCGGTCCAGATGTGGCCTTTCAAGGACAAACCAAAGGTCCGTACTTTACATTTTTCTATAAATCACTAACTTTATCGAGACAAATCGATGAAATGATTTCTTAATTCTATTTTCGGAGTGACCCCCTTGAAAAAAAAAAAACCACGAATATTTTAATTAAAAAATTCGGATTTTCTCTACCGGTCTAGTAAAAATCTGGAATTCGTACCCGCAAAATCAAAAGGAAACCCGATTTCCTGCGCGCGCGCGGTTCTCCGGAATCCTCCTGCGCGCGGCGCTTCCGCCGCCGCACCCCGCCGCTCTCCGCCGCCGCACCTCGCCGGTCTCTCCGGCCCTCCTCCGCAATCCGACCTGCCGTTTCTGCAGAGCCGGAGCCAGAGCCAGCTCGTGCCCGCCGCCACCGCCCGCCGTCCGTCGCGCCTCCCCGCCGGACCGAAGGCGACTCTCTCTTCCACTTCCATCTCTCTCAGCGCCTCTTCTAAGATCTCTTCCCTCCGCGATTTCGTGTCGCCGCCTCGCCGCCGTGCGACCGTCTCTGGCGCTCCTCTTCTTCAGTGGAATTCCGTCGGACTGCTTAGCGCATCAGGAAACCCTCTCCGATAAGGGAAATCTCGGAAGATGGACGTGATCTCCCAGCTGCAGGAGCAGGTCAACACGATCGCCTCGGTCGCCTTCAACACCTTTGGCACCCTGCAGAGGGACGCGCCCTCCGTGCGGCTCTCCGCGAGCTATCCGGAGCCGCCCCCGATCGCCGCGAACGCCGCGGAGGACGCGTCCGCCTTCGCCGACCAACCCAAGCTGATGAGCTCTGCTCTCGTCAAAGCCGCCAAGCAGGTTCGTGTCTCTCAGGCTTGCTGTAGCAAGGTCGTTGGTGAGCTTTGCTCGTTGTCTACTTGATGTAATTGGAAGAAGCTATTTGGCTAGGGATTGATGGTTCATCTCTGGGGAATATTGATTACTTGATTAGTTGATTTATTGTGGCAAGAAAAAGAAATTTGCTTATATATAAGAATTATACGGTTAGGAATCTAGGGTCATGTCCGAAGTTTTGGCGGAAAGATGCTCTTACTTCTATTGGCTTTTGTGTGTGGATTTTAGTCTCAGTTTGTGGATGACATGAGCACATTTCATTCATAAATGTATGTACTGTGGAAGTTGTCATGGATAGATCATGGATGTGGCGGGTAGGTCCGTAGATGTAATTCGAGTGTGTCCACGTGCGTTATACGCGGTTGCACCTAATATGACAGTTTTTCCGATGGAAGAAAACGCAGCCCCCCCTCCATCTTTTGTCTTGTGGATTCCGTTGGTTGGATATGTCTGCCACGAGTATCTCGGTGTGCATGTGCACAGACCGTGTTGCAAATTTGGTTTACACGAGTTGGGTAATCTTTTGACGTGTGTGCAATTAAATACTTATGCACACTTGAAAAGAGCCACCACTCTTGTGTAATCACGACTATCGTTTCTTTCAAATGTGTTTCTGCAACTCGCAGTCGGTAGAATTGAATTTAGGTATGATTGTTATGAGATTGTAACGTTGTTAGTGTACTTGATCTTGAATATGTTGGATTGTTGTTGTCTGATTTCTATCTTCTTCACCGTTGTTCTGCACCATGCTTGAAGTAAACTGATGGTCGGTGTGGCATCCTAGAGACTCTGCTATATCAGTATATTCTCGCGGGCGAAAGCAATTAGCCTCCACTTTAGAGATGAAGCATTGTGCTTCAAGTTATAAAATTCGGTCTACTTTTCCGCTTTTTGCTCTTGCAATCTGGATAAAGTTCTATCAGAATACTTTTTCTTCTGCAGTTTGATTCCTTAGTAGCAGGACTTCCACTGCCCGAGGGAGGCGAAGAAGCTCAACTCAAAAGGATTGCGGAGCTTCAGGTCAAGAGGATCTGTGGTTTCTGGCGTCTTCTGTTCATTTTTTCCATTGTTTAAGGCTGTTTCTTATTCTTCCCAAATTACCGTGCACAGGCTGAGAATGATGCTGTAGGACAAGAGCTTCAGAAGCAACTTGAAGCTGCTGGTAATTGCCCCATCAATGAGGGTGTGAGGGTGTTTGTCTTGTTCACTTGTGTATGTCCTTTTCTAATCAAAAGTGACATCTTCTATTGATTTTTGGCATTGGCAGAGAAGGAATTAAAGCTGGTCCAGGAGCTATTCAGCCAGGCAACAGATAACTGCTTCAATTTGAAGAAACCAGATTAAAAGATGAGGACACTTCTCTTCTTTACCTTTTCGTTAAATTTATGCAGTAGAGATGATGACTAAGAGAAATAGGCATTCTACGGTTCGAGTAGCGCAAAGTGACGCGAGATGTTGCGACTCTGTCCCGTTGAATTTTGCAGTCCTTGCCTAGTAAAAGTTTCTCAGTGCACAAAAAGCATCGATATGGGCATCAAGTCACCCGAACAATCACTCAAATGAAGTTGTTCTGGTCAAGTAAGAAGTCTAGTCTTAAATCTGTAATTGCAATGACAAAACGTAATGGTGCATTAGCAATGGAAAGTTCTCTGCTTTGTTGTTCACCTTCCTTCCCTATGAAGTTTTCAAAGATTGCTTTCTTACTTTTTGGTCCTTATGAGGATGGTTTTCGAATCGCATGGAGCATGAGCTTTTTTCCGTTGCAGTGTAGATACAGATAGAGACTCAAGAAGGCAACTTTTGTAGATGTGAAGTTCAGAAAATCAGAGTTTCCCATGTTTGACCGACGAGGGGTAGAGCGGCGGTCGGGGCAGGGGGTTTCTCTGCCGGAATCGGCTTTGAACACTAGACTCCCAATAGGCCGAGTGTCGGGTTATGGCTAGCTGAACCTCTTTAGGGTGCTCTTCAAACAGTCTTCGTGGCCTCAAATGAAGGGCCCAACCACAAGTCTAGAACTCTCTTGGAGTGTACATAAACGGCCAAGAAAATGGTATATCGTTTTGTCCAAAGGGGCCATGTGAATGACATCACCCACCTTTAATCTTAATTAAGTTTGCTCGCGGATGTTGTTCTTGACTTGTAATTCATCAATCAAAGACAAAGGTGGAAGGAAATTTTCTCCATTCCGGAGGGAAAGTATCACCTTATCTGACTAGAAATGGTCTTTCAACGCGTGCAAAGGAGATGTAATTGTCCCTTTTTACAAAAATTTGGGACTCAAAAAGGACCTACTCTGGCTCGATTACAATTTAAGATAATGTCAATAAGAGGTCAGATTTTTGTTTGTCATTCCTCATCTTATTTATTAGTGCATCATCTTTAGCACGACTATGAGTCAAATCAACTTTAAAATGCTGGGAAAATTATCCGAAAAGTCTTAGATCTATTTTAATAATTAAGTCATAAACCCATTTATGTTTTTCCAATTGAGTCAATCTGACCAATTTTAATCGAAAATCACTGACATGGACACCAGTAGTGCTCGGATTGGCCAAGGCTGTCGTGGCCCTCGCTTGGGGTCAGTGAGGGTCACGACTCCCTCGCCCGGGGCCGGCAAGGGTTGTGGCGCCCTCTCTTGGCTAGATTTGGCGAGGGCGTCGCAATCCTAGCGCAGAGCTAGTGAGAGCGCAGAGCTAGTGAGGGCCACGAAGCCCTTGCCTAGTGTCGGCAAGGGTTGACCAGCGACCCTTGCCGGTCCACAGTTGGAAGTTGGGAAAAAAAGAAAGAAAGGAAAGAATAGAAAAGAAAAAAAAGAATATTTCAAAAAAATATTGAAAAATATCCACGTTAGCGTCGGTCATACCACGTAGAATGATCGGCGTCTACGTCAACAATTTCCAGCTAAAATTAGCTGGATGGATTCAATTGGTAAAATGTGAAAATATTTATAACTCAATCGGTAAAAAATAAAGATTTAGGACTTATTTCAAGAAGACTTAAGCTAAGCAAGCAGAAGATTGCTAAGCGTGGTATGGACGACAAAGAGCAAGTTTGCGAGTCTAATTTTTTTTTTTGTAACGTGGTTTGAAAGTCTAATTAACTATACATGTTTTCAAGAATATTTGTGCATTATAATGATATTTTTAAGATAATAAGATCGATATTATTTCATGGCCACTAGGGGTGTCAATGGGTTGGATTGGGTCGGGTTTCCATGATACCTGACCCGACCCAAAACTCACAGGAATGTGCTTAACCCGACCCGAGGCCCGAACGATATATATCCCAAAAGATCAGGTCGGGTCGGGTCTGTCCGGGTAGGGTTTCGGGTATTTTTTTTCCCTCTTCGTCTCTTCACCTCCCTCTGTTTCCAGGCTCACAGAAAAGTATAAAATGGAAACATTCCCAATTCAAACAAACTTCAAATATCTAAATTTGTCACGATCCCTTCGTACTTTGATTAAAAAGAATTTCTCTATTGTGATTGCTAAAGCGAACTAGATCTTGATTGTTTAAAGTATCTAAGGAAAAGAAGAGCCACATTTTCACTCTTGTGAATACACCTAGCGGTCGATCCAAATTCGACTGAACAAAAATATCAAAATTTACAAGTATGGAAAACATGATACTGAGACTTTTCAAGTAGAAGATTACAGTAAAAGAGAGCAATCAGCTTTACCCCATTTACAAAATGCTTTTAGCCATCTTCAATCCAATCAAAGTAACATTAACAACACCCACAAATCTTGACTTCCTAAACAAACCCACAATCTCCTCCACCTTCACGTGACTGCACTCCTCAACGACCACCACACAAGCCCCGCCGACCATCGTTGTCATCTCCATCTCCGCTGCGAACCGTGATAGGAACAGAGCCTCCTCCAAATGCTCACTCAACGCCAAATCGAAAACCCCATCGAAGATGCGCAAATTGTGCATACCAACGTGGCTTACCAGAGGCGGCGAGTCAACCCCGGTGACATCGGCAACGCCCGACTCGGACAGCACCATGACCTCGTGGCCGGTTCCGGCGGAGACCTAGAGGACCTTGGAGTGGTTGCGGAGGAGGCTTAGATCGGGGATCGAGTCAAAGAAGTGCCGGTGGGAGAGGACTAAGCTGCGGAAGGCGTGGGAGGACCATAGGCGCTTGTTCTTTCTTGTCGAGGGGAGGAACTCGCGGCGGCCGAAGTCGCAGGAGAATCTGGGGTAGTGGCGGCGGCGGCGATTAGGAGGAAGGTGAAGGTGGCGATGGCGACGGAGGCTAAGGAGAGCTTGTTGAGGAACGTGAGAAAAGAGATGGAGGAGGGAGGAGTTTCCTATTTAGTATTTATATTTAATATATTTCGAGTCATTAGGGTACTCGAACCGACCCAAACCGACCTGAACCGAATTGTCAAGGTATCCATTGTTTCTCTCACTGCCCGAACAGGAATGAGACCCGACCCGAAAATACCTTGAATTTTCGGATCGGGTCGTGTCGATTCGGGTTGGGTCGGGGCGATTTGGGTATTTTTGACACCCCTAATGGCCACTATGTAGGGGCATATATGTCCTTTAAATTGATATATAATTTCTACCTAACAATAGATATGATAAAATATGAGAATATCCTACCTTAAATCCGTAGTTTACCAAATAGTGGATAGGATTTGACAAAATTTTTGGATTTCTTATCTTATCATATCCAGTCCTATCCTGATTACAAATCCGGACAACCAAACGTAGCCTAGGTGCCTTGACCCACCATACTATTTCTCTTAATTCGCGTCATGATTTATGACAAGGCAATCCTTGCATCTTGAGACATGACTTGTGATAATGAAAACTTACCAAATACTTTGTTTGAATGTTGAGTACCAAACAAAGTATTGTTGGAAGTAACATCACCAAGAAATCAACGTCAGAGTGATAGGCCTTTACTGCATGACTGCACGGGCCTGATCATGCGTCTCAAACGAACACCACAGGTTTTCACAAAATCTCCATGTACATGTTCACCCGCAAACTCTCACCATAGAAAAGGCTTCACAGACACTGGAGTAACTCAAGACACATTAACATTTTGCTAATCACACCCAACAGTCATTTTTTAAGACTTTATCCTGAATTTCCACAAAGATCCGAGTGAATCGATCAGAGGGTTGGAGTAGTTGCACACTTCATCTCAGTCTCGCACACTTTCAGCAGCAGACTGAGACGGGTGGTCTTTCATCCCCTGGACCATCCGGAGCCTCGGAGGCTTTGGTGGGTTAGAACCCCATTTTCGGTTATTACAGTAGTTGGCTTCAGAATGTCCCTCTTTGTCATTTACATCTAATGATGTACACTATTTCTGAAGTAATCAATTTCTCCATAGCAAGTTTCGTGTTGATAAAGTTGTGATTTTTGTTGGCTTGTTCCGGGCTAGTTGGGCAGAACCACCATAGTGTATTTGGGTTGACAATGCTCAAAGTCGAGAAGTATCAGTAGTGCTCATTATAAAAATTGCTGGGGGCAATGCTCAAGTCGAAAAGTAGCAAGTGTTGCTCATTATAAAATTTGCCGACCAGTTGCTTGCCATTTAGACGTGCTGGTTTCAATATATTCTCCGCAACCATATGCGATATCCTCTCTCGTCATTGGCCCCTCGCAAAGCAAAGAGCCCCTTCACCCTCGAGTCATTCCCCAGTCGAAGCTCAAGGTACTGAAACCGAAACATCTTCCTCCATCACATTTCCTCTTCAATGAATTTACAGAGCCCTCCCGTTTTCTTCCCCCACAGTGTCCACTTTGCTTTTGCGTTGTGCTGATACGCCCACTTAGATTGTTGTGTTATCAGGACGTGTTTCGGCCTGCATTCTTCTTCACCCATCTTGTGGACAAGTCAGTCAGCAGCCAAGAAATCTGAGTTCCTCTTCCTTCCTTACAGTGAAACCACTCCAGGTATGTGTGTCGTCATATATCTACTTTTCGTGTGCTATCCACGCTTGTTTCACGTTTTCCCTCTTTGTCTGGCCATCTGGTTCTACTGGTTAAACCCTTAAAAACATAAAAGTAGAAAAAAAAAGGGAAGAAGAAACGAATGGAATAACTGCAACATAAACTCATTTCGGAGGTGCCAATATTTGTCTCTCGGAGCATTTGTGTGTCTCCAAAATGTTAACTGTACATCACGTTTAACCACTTCTTGTTGGTAGGGTCATTCGCGACCTGAAAATGATAGGGTGAACTTGGAAAGTTAGAAAGTCTATGCTCACAAGCATTTGGACAATTCAATCGAGGAAATTATCCAATCAGTCTTAACTAATCGTACGTATGCCAATTCAATCCTAAATTTTCTAATTTTGCCATTTTAATTCTAAACTTTTGCGTGAAATTTCAATGTAGTCATATTAGCCAATTTTTGCCGGAAATCGTTAACGTGGTGGTGTGCCATATAGGATGGCCGGCGATGACCGAATCAACATGCCAGTGATTTCCGAAAAGAATTGACCGGGAGGACTATGTTGGAATTTCGCGCAAATGTTTGGAACTAAATTGGCAAAATTGAAAAATTTAGAATTGAATTGGTATCCGTACAATATGTTTAACATTGATTGGGTAATTTTCCCCAATTCAACCTATTACAATTGATTGGAAAAAAAATCGATTTTTACTGATTTCAGAACATTTAAAATCCTTAAAGCATACAAATACTACATGTGAATTCACACATAACGTTTTCAAAATTATCATTACACAAATTGCTTTTTTTTAATACTATATTATTTATATTCAAATTGGTTAGTATAAACGATTGGACCGATGGAATCACATTCCAGCACTCGTTCCGGTTTAACGTCAGGTATCATTTTCAAAACATTGCTTGTGATCAAAGACCGAAATGGTTGACTAAAAGTCATTCGTTTTTTTCTTGAAAGGTGGGAATGTGAAAATCTTTAATTAAGGGCCTTCACCTTTGGTTCATATATTTATTCATAAATTTTCCTTAATGGATGACATCACTCTTAATTTATTAAGATTACCTAAGCTTTATTCGAAGTAAAGTATAAGTGGATATGTAGATTATACTAATGGGGAATTGGATACTGTTGCTTTAAACCTGCATTGTCCTTTTAGAGAAAGAGAGGGTCCACAAAAACTAATGTAGAAAATTGTAGTACAACTTTAAAGTGGCTTGATTATTCTGTTTAATACAATTTGTCATCCTTTCTAGGTCAAGGCATCATCTCTACATTCT